TTCTGAACGGTTCCGAACTATTGTTTAAAACACATTATCGATAGTTCAGAACGGTTCTGGACGGTTCCGAGCTAAAAGGACATCATACTTCAGCAATAGTTCAGGACGGTTCAGGACGGTTCTGAACTATTTATAGGGCTGGGACTATTTGGGACTATTTGGGACTAATTGAGACTAATTGGTTGTTTTTGCTATGGATAGCTCAGAACGGTTCTGGACGGTTCTGAACTGTTTCTTAAATGCAACGCCCTAATAGTTCAGAACGGTTCCGAACGGTTCTGAACTATTTCTAAAGGTACCCGCATCACTTGTATTATCTGGTCCTTTGGTTTGTTATGTTAAAGTTAAAGAGTTGGTAGTCGGTTGCCAATACCTTAGTTAGTTCTAAGTTGGATTTGATAGCCCTTGTTTCCTGGTCAAGTCAGTTCTGAGTTATGCAACCTGACTGGACCTGGCATCCACTTCTGTCTGCATGGAGGCGTACTGGATATCTAGACTCTCCAGTTCTCTCGAGTTGAAAAGGGCACCCTGGGACTTGTCCAAGTGGGACTGGGAGTAGACAGGATGCTTTACCATCCTGGCAAGGGGGGCAAGCTGGACAAGCCCTGAAAATCTTAGGGTTGCCTGGTCATTGACAAATATTTATTAATAGTCCTGGGCCTTTTAGGAATAGTCCCGGATATGTAGGAATAGTCCCGCAAAGGAAAATTAGATGAGCGCTAATTCTATCATACTCCCGTGGATTTAGGAATAGCCCCGTAAAGGAAAATTAGATGAGCGCTAATTCTGTCATACTCCTGGAGATTTAGGAATGGTCCCGCAAAGGAAAATTAGATGAGGGCTAATTCTGTCATACTCCCGGGGTTTAGGAATAGCCCCGTAAAGGAAAATTAGATGAGCGCTAATTCTACTAATTCTGTCATACTCCTCGTGGAGATTTAGGAATTGCCCCGTAAAGGACAATTAGATGAGCGCTAATTCTGTCATACTCCCAAGGATTTAGGAATAGCCCCGTAAAGGAAAATTAGATGAGCGGTAATTCTGTCATACTCCTGGGGATTTAGGAATAATCCATAATAGTAGCCCCGTAAAGGACAATTAGATGAGCGCAAATTCTGTCATACTCTGAGAGATTTAGGAATAGCCCCATAAAGGAAAATTAGATGATCGCTAATTCTGTCATACTCCTGGATATTTAGGAATAGTCTATAGTAGTAGTCCCGTAAAGGAAAATTTGATGAGCGCTCATTCTTGTGTCATACAGTATGACTCATACTTCCCATGACACACAAGAAGCAAATAAGTGACACACAAATGCACATGTTAGGAGTTTTGACCATGGAGAGGACACGCATGAGTGAACATTAACAAAAAAAATTATATCACATCCATGCTCAGACTCATTCCCAAATCATTAATTCTGGTGGCTGGCAATTACCCACAGCTTTTCAACAGTAGTAGAAACACAATAGGACCAAGGGTGAGGCTTACAAGTAGAAAATACTCATGTCACATGTTGGCTAGTCATTTAGAAGACCTAAATAGGGCAAAAGGTGCGCGGTTGTAGTCCGGTCCACTGCAGTACACCCTCAAAGGTTTTGAACAACTTTGGTAGTGAGGATTAGTGTTGAGAGTAGAAGTGGAAGGAGGGCACCTCAGTTAATTGAATATTTAAAAAGTCACCAATAAGGCACCTTAGTAGAAGATATGGCAGATAAGTCTAAATACTTAGGAAATAGTCACCAAGATGTTGGAATAGTTCTAAACCTATTATATAATTGAGAGTTAGTTCCAAGGATTGAGAAATAGTTCCAAAGGATTGTTAGGTATAGTCCATACCTGGAACAGGATGGGCCAAACAAACAGGCCAACGCACACCCCAAATTATAACAGTGATACAACCACTGAAAAAAACTGAACGCCTTGTTTGTGCGCCGTTCTTTCCCGGCATCTCTTGACAAGAGACAGTTAAGCCTATTCCACTTGCGTTTCTGCTGATCTAGCTTTACTCTGTTACCAGTGGCAAACCACACACACAAGCAAAAATACAAAACATCCAGAAATCCTGGGGTTGAGGTGCTCAACAAGAGTTCAAAAAAACACACTGTGAAACAAAAGTCCCGAAGTTCTGGGGCTGAGGTGTTCAAAAAAATAACAAGTTGTAAAAAGCAACAAGTTCAAATAAACACAAAATAAATAGGACCGGATAACCCCACATGCTATTTGTCTTTAACGATCACTAGACTCACAATCTTTTAAACGTTGGCCATATGACATGGAAACGAAAATAAATGCAAACAAAAATTGCTTGCCGATGTTTCTGGCAGAGCAACATGAAGTCTAAAAGATAGCGGTGAACGCCTGGAAGATATACTTACATACAGACAGACATACATAGACACACACACATATATATATACACATACTCACAAACATACATACGCACAGACTTGCAAACAAACAAACATACATTACATGAAACTACAGTACGGAACAGTACCTTGCATTAGATTACATTACATACATATATACATACAAACATATATACACACATGCCTAGACATACCTAGAAACATAGATACATACATACATCCATGCATACATACAGACATACATTGCATTGCATTACATTACATTGCGCTGCATTACATTATATACATTACACTACATATTTACATACAAACATACATACATACATGCATAGATACATACATACGTCGCCAGACTTCCGGTGACCTCTATGGATCTGGTCCGAGTGCACAAATCAAGCCTGAGGTGCTCCAAGCGCTGCGCCTGCCGAGCAAATCGAGCCTGAGGTGCTCCAAGTGCCACACCTGCCACGCAAATCGAGCCTGAGGTGCTCCAAGCGCCGCACCCGCCACGTAAAACTCAGCCAACCTCGTCGCCAGACTTCCGCTGACCTATGGAGGTGCTCAAGTACTGCTCCTGACGCACCTGCCACGCAAGCCGGGCCTGAGGTGCTCCAAGCTTTGCGCCTTAAAACTCAGCGGCGCCAATGCGTCCCCTGTCGTCGCCAGGCTTCCGTTGACCTCTATGGAGGTGCTCCAAGGCTGCACCTGCCACATAGAACTCAGCGGCGCCAATGCGCCCCCCCGGCGTCGCCAGACTTCCACTGACCTCTATGGATGAGTGCTGCACCTGCCACGCGAATCGAGCCTCAGTTGCTCCAAGTGCTGCCTCTGATGTGGTGAGGTTAGGATTGATGTGATAAGAGTTGATGTTGTGTGAGTGATGTAGTGGCGGAGGAGCGACGAGGACGAGGAACGGAACGCAAATACAAAAAGCAAGAACCCCACACAATGATGTGGAAAACTTTCAATTGGGTCCCTTATTGCTGCAATATACTGTGATTAGAATGGGCCCCTTCCTGCTCTAAATTTCAACTTCGAGTTGCCCACGAAAGGTGCGCTCCTCTAAATGGCCCTCCGGTGGCCCACAAAAGGAATCGTCCACGCTAGTTTGTCAAGGGAGCTTTGCGACTTTGTCACAGAAAGGTCTTCATGTGCCTTGACCTTGGTCTACTTCGTGTCTGACATTGCCAAAGCACAGCCAGAGCCTTGAAGCCTGAAAGCTTTTCTTAGATGAGAGGCAACTGCAACCGCAGCGCAATCCCAATGCACCTTTGCTTCCACGAAAGCTTTGCAAACACAAACAATACAAGGCTAGCTTTATTGTTACTAGCAGTACGGCCAGGAGCCCCTAGTAGCGTCCTTGCTCCTAGTAGCAATGCCCTTTGTTCCTAGGAGCGTCCTACCCTCAGTGCGTGTTTTAACATACTGCTTTGCAGGCCCTCATGTAACTAGGTCACAGCGCCCAAAGGCGCCTGGTATCGTGTGAGGCATTGTCCTTTCTATTCTCCACATGTCGCAAAATGCGACCAAATATGACCAAATCAGGGTGTCAAAACTATTCCTTTTGACAGCTCAGATGCTAGCTTTACAAGTGAATGCCGTACATTGTCAAGATTCTTTCCAGTGCGAGTCCTTTTCATGTACTGGTGCACCCTTAATTTCAAAGCTGCGGAGTCCCCCCCCCTTTCTAAGACTTCCGATGAAGTCCGTGAAACAGGAAGTTCTTGAGTTGCGACCTATCTGTTGTACATCATGGCGTGTGCACCATGGCGTGCATAATGTTCCATCATTTTTGCTCTAGTCCACACAAATTTCACATGAAGTGCTCGCAAAACGACAAGCGTACGGTGGTGACGGGCGTGACATCAATGACAATCTGATGACATCAACGGCAATCAGAATTCGCTGGCCGAGTGCACAATCGAGTCATTCTCCACATGCACAAGCGAGGGCTTTGCCGGTAGAGGATTGCAAAACAAATGAGATGTGGGTATGGGTAATCGCCGCCACAATTGTATGGGTGTGCGACTTTTGACATCTTTGACTTTGCTTGGCAGAGATTCATGTTGTGTATAGACCTGTGAGTCTTGCACAAGCCAGACGCACTTGAGCGACTTCTGGCGCGAGAGGTAGTATAATATTGTATAATGCCCCTGATGTTTGAAGGAACTTACCTTTCATGCATGGATGACTAAAAAGCAGCTATTCCTTACATTCGTCCATCCAATAGACCGCACTGGCCGACTAGTGCAAGAGTTTTTGACTTTGCCAGGTTTCTTGGTGGTTGGATGCCCATCCAGCAATCTGAGAATAGTTGTTGAAGTTTGCATAGTTTGATGTTCAAGGCTTTGATGTATACATATCCATATTACCTCGTTTTCACCACGCGATCTCTCACACTCACACACACAACAAATACAGTATATACCAGCACAATTGGTTTGCATTGATGTGTTTTGATGTGTTTTGTGATGTTTTGTGCATGTTGCAAGTAAGAAATGTCATGGCCCCATGATTGGCCCTTCTGGAGGCCCTTCTTCTGTTAAAGGGGCCCTCCTTGCCCTCTTTTTCATCTCATCTCTGATCCAGAAAGCATGCCGCACGGCCCGTTGCACTGTGGCGTCCGGCGAAACAGGTAGGTAGCCGCAAGGATGAACTTGCACGCTTTGCGCCTATGCTTCCTGAGCTTCTGTGCGATGCAGCCCGGATGAAGTAAATGCTTCGGCCAAACTAGTAGTAAGGCCAGGAGCCCCTAGTAGCGTCCTTGCTCCTATTAGGGATGCCAGGAGCCCCTAGTAGCTTCTTGCTCCTAGCAGTAAGGCCAGGAGCCCCTAGTAGCGTCCTTGCTCCTAGTAGCGATGCCAGGAGCCCCCTCTTGCTCCTAGTAGTAAGGCTAGTAGCGTCCTTGCTCCTAGTAGCGATGCCAGTAGCGATGCCAGGAGCCCCTAGTAGCTTCTTGCTCCTAGTAGTAAGGCCAGGAGCCCCTAGTAGCGTCCTTGCTCCTAGTAGCGATGCTAGGGGCCCTAGTAGCTTCTTGCTCCTTGTCCCTAGTAGCTTCTTGCTCCTAGTAGTAAGGGCAGGAGCCCCTAGTAGCGTCCTTGCTCCTAGTAGTGATGCCAGGAGCCCCTAGTAGCGTCCTTGCTCCTAGTAGCGATGCCCTAGTAGCTTCTTGCTCCTAGTAGTAAGGCCAGGAGCCCCGTCCTTGCTTCTAGTAGTAATGCCGGGAGCCCGTAGTGGCGTCCTTTGCTCCTAGTAGTAAGGCCAGGAGCCCCTAGTAGCGTCCTTGCTCCTAGTAGCGATGCCAGGAGCCCTCGGAGCAATAAGGCCAGGAGCCTCTATAAGGAGGTGCTTCTGGATACAAAACCAACCTGAGCGCAGTGACGACGTTGCGCAGCATCTGCATCCTTTGGACCATCTCCTACGCAAAATCACACGGTATCTCGGCCGCTTGGTTGCACCTCTCGGCCGTCAAAAACAAGCAGCTCCTGGACTTTGTCGTCTTGATTGACCTGCGTCCCGTGCACACGGCATCAGTTGTGTTGATTGCTTCTAACCACTTGTCTTGCATTCGTTCATTCACCTTGCTGAATCTATGGCTTGCACCTCTTTGCCTGACAGTCCTTGCTCCTTCAGTTGCTTCCTCGGCGATGTTGTATTTGCTCTTCCATCGACACTGAATCTTGCTCGAACCTAAGGGTGGCACTTCCTATTTGGAATATGCTCTGTCCGTAGGCGAAACAGCTCGTCGGCTTGCTCTTTGTTCAAGCTCCCAACCTCAATGGCTGCGGCCCCACCGGCGCATGCGACGCATTCAGCCATGAGCATGTAGGAATCATGAAGCTTTTGAGGACTTTACATTGTCCTCGACGCGTTCGAGATAGCCCTGAACAAAGTAGGAACCGTGACCACTGTGGCACACCTTGACTGTCTGAACTTGTGTTGCATGTGGTCACTATATAGTACTCCAGTTGGAAGCCTGAAGGAGCCCCCATGTTACGAAATGCCGTAAGGAAATGTCCAAGGCGGCAATCTCCTCACCCAGCAAATTACACTCTGACATTGTGCTTTTGTAAGTCCTTCACGCGCAAACGATGCAAAGGATCTGCAGTCCTCTGCCTCTTCCTCGCAGGAAAGCCGATGCGACAGGTTTTGGGCGGGATCTATTGCAGCCACTCCCATTTTGCCTGCTTAAACTGCTCCAGTTGCTTCCCCTCACAAGCCACAAATGCCTGTTCAATCGGACAGTTGATCGACACTCTTTGGATACTCGTAATGACATGCCAGCCGTTCATACAATGCCATTACTCGCTGGATTACCTTGCAAGGCATGCGGCTCAAAGCAACGACAGCCTTCGACCAACCTGTGCAAATCTGTGCAGCTTAGTGTCCTTGCAGCGATCTTCCTCTGCAAGGTCCTTCCCATCCAATTGTCCAGCTGTTACATACTGGACGGCTTCTTGCCTCAGCAAGTCTTGCATGGCATGGTGTGGCATACCACTGAGAGTCCGAGAACCCTACCCTTTCTCCACATCTTCCAGAACTGCATGGTAAGCAGGTGTCAACCTGATTCATGTCAAGAGTCAAGAATGTATGCAAATGATGAGTCAAAGAAGCAAAACACGCAGTCCTGTATCTGCTGTCCAATGTGATGCTTGGGATTAAATGGATCAAATCAAAATGAATCAAGTGCCGCAGGATCATCACGACCTTGGCATTCAACAATGTCTTGCATCTCATTCATCTGGCGACTGGGTAAGGGAAAAAGAACAGGCCCAAAATTTGTCATTGTTCTTCTTGACCTACTTTGCCTGAAAGCACAGCTGTGGACATAGTCGCTTCGAAGTGGGCTGTCGTTGGCAATCGTCTGCACACTTCTCACCTTAGAGTTGTGAGTTCTAGGATCTGATTACGATCAAACTTTCATAATCATTTATTTTTTGATTTGTGTTTTTTCTGTGGCTTTTCTATTTTTGATTTTCACACAGGCTGATTTTGAGGTTATAATTTTGCCTTTGTCTTTTAATATTTGTGCTCTGTGCATGCTGATGGAACCGCGTTTCCTTTTTGAATGCACACAACAGGCAACGGATTTGCATTTTTGGACATGGCTGACATGGAAAATGAGATTCAGCTAGATTAGAGTATGATTGTATATATAGTGTTTTCTACGGTGTATATAGTAGTATATTGAATACATAATTTTGGTGTTGAAGACACTTTTGAGCACACTGTTACTAGATTCAGTTTCACTGCAAAGGATGCTTTTTGCCGCCAGTCATGTTACAATACGCAGCCTTGCTGTCCAAGCGGGCACAGGGCCCTTCAAAGGGGACTGCTCTTTGCCGTTTGAAGTTTTGTGTGGCAGCACTGTAGCAGCAAAGCCAAATTGCCAAATCTTCAGCAGTAGTAAGAGGAGGCAGCTTGAATGCTCCTGCAACATGGGCAGGGTTGTTGCAAAGGGCATGTTTGTCTCAGGAAACTTCCGACGAATTGTCAGCCTCTTTGACAGATGTTTCCCAGGCAAGCAACCGTGCATTTTGGGCATCACACCTAAAAGAGGACTCAAGGAGACTTGGTTTGGACAAGCCTATCAAGAGCCGTCTGGACATCATCAGTGCGTGCACTGGTTCTTTTGCTGAAGCTGCCGTGCTACAGGACTGGCGACAGTGTTTGGTGACTGGTGACATCAGTCAATCCAAATCCAAAAATTCCTCTGCAATCCAACTTCAAACATGTTTCATTCGAAAAACAATCAAAAGGACAACCCCCTAAAACAGAATCAAAAAAAACATAACATTCAAGTACAAAAAACATGAAAGAATAAAACAAAGAAAATAATTGCGCTTTTGGAGATAAGTCATTGGATTTACAGTAGGATTCTTAACCGTAGAGCCAAGACTCAAACCCGTGACCACGGGTGCTCTGGTGCTGAGGGGCGGGCCCCATCTATGAGTGGCAGAACCGCTGCCAATGCGGGATCCTAAGGGTTGACCCTCATGCTGAAGCTAGACTCGCTAGACTTAGGGTTTAGCGGTTTAGGTCATGAATTTCTGCTTATTATTGTATTAAGGCTCCAACGAGACTGAAGGGCAAAGCCTTGATGAAAAACGTGCGATGGTATATGGCAAACGATGACGAATAAGGAGGGGCGATGACAACGACATACAACGACTACATCACAAGCACGTCATGTATGATTTCACAAAACCTGTGAGCTTGCAGAGCAAGGCCGCTGCTTGTTGAAGATCAGGCCCTTGTGATTCTGACCTGCATATATATATATATATATGTTGATTTGACTCTTTTCTAGTCTAACACGGCATCTCAGGCCTTCTCTCTGGATCCAAAAGCTTCTGCAAATCCACCAAGGGGACTGGGACAGCCGTTTCATCCTCAATCCTAGTGAGGGCCTCAAACCCAAACGCAAGTGAATACATCTTGTAACAGAGCACACTGGGAACCAAGCAGGTGTCCACCTACGAACCTGGTGCTACAAGGCATTGCCAAACATTTCACAATGTTCTGTTCAGAAGGCCTTGAAGGAAATTGCATGGCAGCTGTCCGTGCAAACGAAGCATTCCTTACACACAGCTTGAACAAACGCTTCAATAGATCGATTGAGAGGAAGCATTTCTTCAATCTGCCTCTGCATCGTTGAGCTGTTGTCGAAGCTGTGCGAGGATAGCCTGACAACTGTGAGTTACGAGCAGCATGTTTGCGTGTGTTGTTTCTTGTGGACCTTTCAGAAGTTGAAACTATTGCAGGGCCTGAATGGATGTACCTTCTCCTAGGCTGAACTGTCTGCAGGTGGAGGCAAGTGTGCTCTTGAAGCAAATCAATCCCACATGTCACGTGCGCCAAGTTCAGCCTAATTATCCCCCTCCCTTCTTTCAGGCCAGTTTCTTGGATTGGAAAGCAGCTTTGTCTCCACCTGAGGGCACAAGCCGACACCGTCTGCGTGTGTTGGGTGAACTAACCAAACAGTCTGAACCTCCAACGTCTGGAATGACATGGCCTCAAATGTGCAAGAGTGGGGCAGCCTTGTGGCCCAGTGCCACCCACGGTTTTTCGGTATCACCCCAAAATCAATAAGGGAATGGCGAGCAATTGAGCAATGTCACGATATGGTTCATGATGTTGGTTGCCATCAATGACCTGGTGCTGAGGATTCTTTGAGCGAACATGGCAAACATATTTGGCAAAACGCACGATTTTGCATCTCAGCACAGTACCATGCATATGTTGAACTGGAAGCAGTTTCGCCTGTAGCTAGTGTCCTTCATTGTCTCAAGAAGAATTCACTTCCTGGTTTGAGGGGAATGAGAAGGAAAGAAAGCAAAAAAAAATAGACGACGAGTGGCCCGAAAGCATTTTTCATCACGTAGGAAATCAGAGTGCGAGTTATCCGGTAAGTGTGTAGTGAGAAGTGTTAAGTCGAGTAAGTTGAGGTAGTGTGTGGGTTTCTGTGCGTGTGTCTATGTCCGTGTGGAAACGAGTCTGCGTATGTGTGTGTTCGTGGAAGTTGAGGGAGTGTGTGGGTGTTTGTGTGCGATGCGGCCTCCCAAACCCCCCACCGGCGGCCAAGCGGTGACAGCCCAGCTCATCGTCGTGAG